AGGCTGAAGAGCTGCAGTGGTGGCAGCACTTGCCCCTAAAATGATACCTTCAACCTCTGGTGCTGCAACAACAGCAAACTCTTTTGCTCTCTGATTTAATGCCTGGCGTGGGATTTCATACACTGTAAGAAAACTCATCCTGCGAGGACTGCTGTTGGCTCTCCCAAAAATTCCCCACTGGTCTCTGGATCCTAAAAAACAGATGATGGTAAAGAAAAGGATTCCTGCTGGCCAGGAAGACGCAGAGGAAGTCTCTTTGCATCCTGATTTAAATGACAGGTAGTTCAGGCACCATCTAAAAGAAACTAGATATTTGGATTTCTTTTTGTTTATTTATTTTCCCCTTACATAAATATGGAAGGAAAGCATCGCAGGTGAAATGGTGCATGGAAATTAATCTGGTTCACAGTCCTCATAAATATTTACAGGCTGGCAAATATGTAACCCCGTTTCTTTTTCCCTCTGCCCTCCTCTCCTCCAAGTCGATCTCAGCAGGGGAGGTTAAATAGCTGGGGAGGTCGTGGTTAAGGAGACCATGGCACAACTGTGCAGAGGGGAAGGGATTCATCCAGGCTTGGTGCCTCAGCACCCTGCCCTGTGCATCCCACCCAGCTCCTGGACCTGCACAAAGAGCAGGGACCCCACACACAGTGCCTGGTGTCTTCCCCAGCTCAAAGCATCGCCTTTCCTCCAGTCCCTTGCTGCAGGAAAGAGAAATACCACCAGGCTTTTCCTTTTTTTTTTTTTTTTTCTCTTCCTTTTAATTCAGGAGAGCATCTATCTGCTCTCTCCCTTTTCAATAATTTCACCAGATAAACAACTGAGAGAGAATTAATAGACACTTCCATTTGCACTATAATAAAGTGTGTATTTGGGGGAGGAACAGTGGAGGCAAACTTCTTCTAAAGATTAAAGCAACAGGCCTTATCCCTGATGAATTCAGGTCAGTCTTTGGAAGGCGGCGATACGTGCCTCGAGCTAGACGAGAGCTTTGTGCCCGTGGAGCGAGGGGAGTAAAAGGGCTGTGTGGCAGGAAGCACACAAGTGACCCTATAGGATTTTTCTGGGACTCTGAGCTCTCAGCATAGTATTAGTAACTACTGGAAGAGCAGAGGGATGCAGCCATTAGGCCACGTAATCCCCCAGAGCATGGCCATGGCCTTAACAAGTGAGAATTTTTGGGTAGGGTTTCCAGGTGCACTCAGGTGATGGATAACCAGAGTGGGACCGAGGGGAGATGGGCATGGGGAAGGGTCCGTGCTCGTCCGTGAGCAGCAAAGGACGGAAAAGGAGGAGGATGTTCTCCCCTGGGAGGAAAGAGTCTGCAAGAGGGAGCAAAAATTGTCCACCAGCAGTAACATCAGGGCTGTTCAAAGCCAAAAAAAGTGAGCAGGAGAGGCAGAGAGAGACCTACAGATGCACTGCGTCGGGAGGGATGGCTTCTCCAGTAATTAGCACCGGTGTCCTGCTGGTTTCGTTTCATGCATCCGTGTTTCTCCACGCAACAGTGCAAATGGTGTAGGTTTCAAAGCAATCGTGCCATTTTCTGCTAGCTGATCTTTTAATGCCTAGATTTATGAAAGATGGCACCCTGTATTTTGGTGTTTACATGGATCGTTGCTGAATTGGAACTTATCCTGTTTTCATGAAAGGATTCCTCCTTTTTTGGCAGAGAAAATGAGTTTGTTTTCAGATCTCGCCTATGTGAAAGATCACGTGGCCATGAAGAAAATCTTGAATGGGTTCCAAATGGTGAAAATCTCGAAGGCAGATTTGTACCAAAACCTCTAACATTTGCAGCTTCAGATATTTGCAGCAGGGAAAACCCTCAGCTTGGCGAAATTTCACAGAAAAGACATATTTCACTGGCACGAGCTATCCCAAAAGACAAAATTGTGAATCATATACAAAGGAGGAAAAGAAGAAAAAGGAAAAAAAAAAAAAAAAAAAAGAAGAACCAAAATGTGCAGAAATGCATCAGGTGAGGGTGAGGATGTGTTCCTGGGAGGTGATGCAGGATGGGAAGAGGGGGAGGCAGGTGAGGAAGGTGGCTGAGTTGGACTTGGCACCAGCTTGTGTCCAAGGTCCCCTGAGCCATCTGATCTTGGAGATAACATCTCTCCGAAATCAGACCATCAGACCACTCACCTTCCTCGGTGGAGACTGATTCACCATCCCAGCAGCTGTCCTCTGCCCCCGCTGCATGACACAACCTTGTTTCCATGCCTTCATGCCCCAATATTTCCTTTAATTACTCCGGGGTGATCCATTCCCTCTCTGTGCTGCAGCCGTCGGGCCCCTTCAGAAGTGCTGAGCCTGGGCAGTAATTGCTCTGTCGCGGGCTGACACCTCCAGAGAGGCAGCTCGGGTCTCAGCAACAGCAAATCCAGAGGCAAAGCTGGAAAGCTATTAATGTTTAACACGCGGGGAAGCTGCTGTCTGTCAGATGCTCCCATCACCCTGAGCCTGGCAGGCAGAACGTGTTAGCACATCTAAAACTGCTGGAGGATTTTATCAGCCTGACATCCCCGTCTCCCCTTCGGCTGGGTACCTAGTACAGACACGACAAGGGGGGCTCTGTGGGATGGACGCGGCCAGGACCACCTGTAGCTTCAGGACATGAGCCCCCTGCACCCTCAGGTGAGGATGGAGCTGTGTGGAAAGGTGGAGATGCAGAGGGGTCCCCTGGGGCTGCGGTGGGAGGCACAACACGGGATGGATGCTCCTTGCTGCTCCCAGTGATGCTGCTCCTGGCACAAACGGCCTGGGACTGGTCCTGGAGGGGCAGCAGGGATGTAATTTTGGTCCAAGATAGAGCCAGTGGCAGAGGATGGTTTCCTGACCCTAATACACTGAATTTGCTGTGTTAGTGTGGGAGCTCAGGGCTGGTTCCTCTGTCTCAGGAGGTCTGGCGTGGGACACAACACAGAGCCTGGTCCTGTTGAGGAGAGCCCAGCCTGGAAAAAAATAGAAAGAAATTAAAATTAAATGGACTGCAAGGCTCTCCTGCATTATCCTTCTGTTTGAGCACTTAGCCTCAGCCACCACGCTTTCAGTCTTCTTTTTTTTTATTTCTGATCCTGTTAAATTTCCCATTGAGGAATCATTTTTCTGACCCCTGAAGACCTCAGTTAAGCCTGCTGACAACAAGTTGGCTTTTCCGCGTTCCTTTTTGCAGCTCCTCAGATATAATCTGTCGACCCCCAACAATCTCCAGACTGCAGGTTGAAAATCACTGACCTGCAGCGTTTTGGTGCCTGCCACCTCAGCACCAGGCTGAAAACTGTTTTCCCAACACCAGGGGACTGAAAAATGTGCTGCAGAGCCAGATTTCTGTATGGCATCACCCAGCCCCACAGGAAAGTGGTTCAGACTGAAGCCAGGAGTGGGGAGGCTGAGCACTGGGCTGGATGCTGCTGGTGGCCCATGGTGACAGTCCCAGTGGCCCCATTTAGCCATGGAGATGCTGGCTGACCCTGTGGCTGAGGAAGATGATGGAGCTGCACCTCGGAGCAATGCTTTATGAGCTCTGCTGGAAGATGCTGGGCTGGTGCAAAACAATATTGCTTTGATAGCACCCCGTCTCGGTGGAAAAGCTTCTGCTCTTCCACGTAGGAGGAAATATTTCTCTAGTAGCCCACAAAACAACGTGTTACTTCACTCCCCAACTTCTGACACGTGGAAGCTTTTTCTGCTTTGTCTCTGCCCCTGTTTTTTTCCCTTTGCTCTGAGAGGTCCCTGCCCCTTTTGCAGCTCCTCATCCTCCCCTTGCCTGTGCTGTGTTTGAGCCTCCTCTCTTTCAATCTGAAAATCTCCCTGCGCTCACCTTGCCTCCTGCCAGGAAAATCTGACCCTTTGGAGTCGAAGGCAGCTTTCATCCAGCCTCTACCAGCATCCCCGATACCCCCCGAATAACAACTGCAGCTGGGCAAGTGCATGCTCCAGCGGCTCTCAGCACCTCTCCTCCTCCACCACTTCTCCAGTTCCTTGGCCCTAAGGCAGCTGGAGCACAGCCTGGCCATGGAAATACAAAACTGAGTGCACGGGGTTGGGCCCCAGCTCTGTGCCTTCCCATCTCTGCAGCAAGCAAGGGGAAATCTTATTTAGTTGTACCCGGTGCAGCAGGAAACTTGTATTTTTAAGCTGTTCTGGTGAATGTTTTCAGGCATGGCTAGCTCAAGAGAGAAATCAGGAGATTAAGGTAAAGGTTAAGATATCACTATGGAGACAGAGGCATTGAATGCTCCGTTATCAGCCAAGGAATCCCTAAAAGTGCTGCAGAAACGGGATTGCATACTGCACAAGCCCTAGAGCATCTGCAACACGGCTTGATCCATGCCCCAAACCACAACCGAAGCTGCGTGACGCTGCCTCTGGTGCAGCATTTCAGGACAAGGTGGGCCAGCTACCTGGGAGACGTGAATATAGCAGAGCCATCCCTCCTCCACAAGTCCTCAGCGTTCAAATTTATGGCAAAACAGGGGCAAAAGAGCAGGGGTTGGGTTGGGGCCGTGCAGCAGACAGAAATCCCCCCCGGTCCTCCCCTCCTCCCCTGGCACCGTGAGCGCAGATGCCCGGCCAGAAGGAGCCATTGATCGGCGTGACGGATGGGGACTGGAAGGAGGGAAGTGTGCCAGATCAATATGCAATCCACAGTACATGAATCACTCCAGCTTTTCCAATTTATTCAGCTCCAAATCAAATGAACCAACAAAAGATAAATATATAGCCATGGGGAGGCTGGGGGTGGGGGGGTGAGGAAGGCAGGTGGGGAGGCAGGCTCTCATACGGGGTAATTAACTAGCTTTTATCATCCTAACAAAGCATTAAGCCAGTAAATCTATGAAAATGGGAATGCTCCAGAGAGTCGTTACTGGCATAAAGCAGAGGCTCTGGAATTTGCTCCTCATCTGGAGGAGGAAGGGGAGGGTTGGGGAGGGGAAGGCAGAGCACGGGGCATGGCACAGCCCCAGAACCAGGGGCAGGGGTCCCTGCTTCAGCCTCCCCCCGCACACCCAGCCCATACCAGCTAGAGGACATCAACACCTAGCTTGGTCTGGTTCAGGAGAGGAACCTGAGAAAGCCGATATTCTGGTGATGAGCCAGAAAAATTGTTTATTTCCCCGCTGGGTCAACTCGAAACTTCTTTATGTTCGAGGCAGGGTATTTAGGTTGGCTCTGGGGATTACCCTGTGGCTGGTCCACCCTTTTGCTTTGCTGTTTTCTTTGGGGTGAAGGCTATCATTAGATGACAAAATGTGTTTTTCAGATGAGAGTTGGTGAAGTTTGGTCAGACTCGAGTGAATGCCATTTCTGCCCTTTACAAAAGCAAGAATTTAATGTTTGTATATGCAGACAAGCCACACGGTCTCATTAGCCCTCAGACCTTCATTTTAGGCATTCATTTGCTATTTCCACAAAAAAAAAAAGAACACATCTGCTGGGAGATCACATTCCCCTGTAGGCTCTTTCCCAGCTTGTCCTTCTCTGAGCCCTCTTGGCTTGGCCAGGGCTGGGCTCAGCCTCCTTCCCCCTCATACTGCAGAGCAGGCGGGGGGCTCACGGGGGCACAAACCCACTCTCAAGCCCCATGGGTCCCAGCCAGACCACAGCGGGACTTTCCCAGAGCAGGACAACACGTCCCAAAACTCCCAGCAGCTGGATTTGATGCCTCCGTGCACCAGTTTCTCCCTGTGCTTATTTCCCTTTGGAGCACCCCCTCCTTTTTGCCTTGTGCCCCCAAAGTGCTGCAGCACCTGGACTTGCCTTACACTGCCCTCCCAGCCCCCGTGCTGTGGGGTTTCTCGGCAAAGAGATCTCTGGATTTGCAAAAATGAACCCTGCTCCACTGCTCCAGCCTCCTGATTAGCTCCTTATCCAGCAGGATTTGCTCGGCTCATTATCAACTTCATTAACAGGATAGCGGCAGGGAGGGGAAAGCCTTCGAGGAGGGGAGCCAGGAGTCTCAGACAACAAATGTTATTTGTTTTAGGATGGAAATATTTGGATGAAGCCCGTGCTAGTTTCTTTTGGGCTCTGCTAATGTCTTCTGCTCCTGCTCCTCTATTTCTGTCGAGCAACCTGGTCTGGTGGGAGGTGGCAGGTGGGGATTAGATGATCTTTGAGGTCCCTTCCAACCTGAACCATTCTGTGATTTGGTGCCTCTGTGATTTTGTTCCACCTTCAGGTCATCCCTCGCCCTGTGGCTCTGCTTCGTGTCGAGCTGGCGGTGGTCCCACACTCCGTGTGGCCATACCCTCACCCCAGGGCTCCTCTTTTTGCTCTTTTTGCTCTTTTTGCTCTTTCCTCGTGCAACCAGCAGCTCTCCGCTGCCCTCCAGGAGTCTCCTGCCTGGCTTCGCATGCTTGGGGGCACCAGGCTGCTGCAGCAGAAAGACATGAGGAAGCAATGGAGAGCGAGGAGAGAAGTGAGAGAGCAGGAGAAAAGCCCACAGGTCCTAAAAAATCTTCAGTTTTTGATTCTGAACACTTTATCTCCCCCAGGCCCACACAAGCAGAAAAGTAAGTTTAATTAAAACTGCATTAATTCGCCTCGTATTGAGCCTCGTATTGAGTCTCCTGGAGCCACCTGGCTCCGACAAAACCACGTGCGTAGTGCTGGGCTCCTCCTGCTCCCACCAGCAGCCAGCACCATGGTGCTGCAAGGATGGGTTTTGCTCGGGGCAGGCAGGAAGGCAGCACATGGAGACGATGCCCAGCCTGGCACAGCCACCCCCGGAGCCACCAGGTCATTTTGGGAGAAAAGCGGGGGAAAAGATTTTTCTTACAGACAGAAATCCATCAGAAATTGAGATAGGAAGCCAAAGTAGTGCCAATTTTCCCCAGATGACCAATTGAGGTGCAGTTTAGATCGGGTCACTCCACACTTTACTGCGATAGCTTTAGATTGCTCCATTTCAATTTCGAGCTTCGGGGTTTTTTCTTTAAAGCACGCAAGTTTAACCTTCGAGGGGAATGGTCCATTTCAGCTGAGACTCTCCCAGCCAGACTTTGTGTCTGCATAACCCGAGACCGGGGTGCCGTGATAATTTTCAAACTGTGTTTTTCCAGCCCAGGAAATTCATCATGAATGCCTCCAGACCCAAATAGCTCTGTTGCGACAAATCAGCGCTTTTCACTGAAGGACCAAAATGCATCTCATCTCAGGGAAAAAAAAAAATAAAAATTGCCACCGCCTCTGCCTGTCAGAGGCAATCTCATGCTCACCATTCTCCTTCCAGGTCTCTCATCCCTTCTTAACCACCCCTCGCTCCTGACCGCAGCACCCGCTGCCATGCAAACACGGGCTTTTTGCTGTGTGCCCAGAGATTATTGCAGAGAGCTGGCACAGCAAGAGAAAAAAAAAAAAAAAAGGCATTTTTTGTATTAAAGGCTGAGCTTAAAGTTCTGGGGACAGACTCAGGTGCAAGGCCAGCTTCCCCAGCACGAGCTGCTGCTGTTTTCTCTCACCGCCTCGGGATGTCTTCTCACTCACTCTCCTCTTTGCTATTCCTGCTGGTTCCGCAGCGCTGCCCCGCGATGTGCTGCGGAGGGGTGAGAGGCTTTGTTGCCATGTCAAGATTTTTAATTTCCCCGTGTGGCGATGGTATCAGTGGCCCTGACAGTGTACTAAACGCGCCTTATCTCTCTGCCCATGGAAAAGCAATATCAATTTTGTGGCTTTAAGGGCTGGAGCGAGAACAATGCGCCATGCATTGTTAAACAAGCCACCAGCCCTGTGCTGTACAAGCAGAACAAGTGTAATCGGTGATAGGGGCCTTCAGCATAATTAGGGCTCACTAGGAAGCACGAAACCTTCCCTGTCGTCCCTGCCTCGCCTTGGGTATCCTGTGCTGCTGCAGCCCTCGGGGAGCCTCTGGGCTCAGGGGGAGGCTCTCCCACTGCCCCCTGGCACGTTGGGTGCCCACATCCCAGCTGCAGACGTGGTTTGTGCCCGGTTCCTCCCCGCAGGATGAGTGTGAGCGAGCCTCTGGCAGCAGCTCTGACATGTCTGGGTGCTCTGGTGTGTGCTGGGTCCGAGTGAAATAGGTCCCTGTCTGTGGTTCCTCTAGCTGGGTCCTCTTCATCTTCCTCATCCAACAGGCTCTGGCTGGGTTCTGGCAGCAGGGTTTGAAAGGGGAGCCTTGGAATGAACAACATCGGGCACAAATCTGTTAAACCTGGTGAGGACCCCATGGTTTCCATCCTGCCCCCCTGCTTCAAGCAGTGAGTGTGCTTAATGGTGCTAGAAGAGTTTAAAGGGATCAAAGGCCAGGCGAAAGCCCTGCACGAGCCAGGTTCCATCTCGAAGCATCCCTCTGCCATCCCAACCATGCAGCCAAGCAGCCCCTCATCTGTATCAGAGGACATCCATCCAGCTGGGCGTGCTGCCACCTCATCCTCTCACGGTTTCAAGCAGGGCAGGGTCTGTGTCCCCTGCCTTGCTGGGTCCTCCACGCCAGCACCCGTGTGCCCCCAGCAGCTGGGATGGGGAGGGAGCCCCCCCTGCCCACCTGTGTGTGCAGCTTTTGTTTGAAATGGTGGATCGTAACGCTCTGAAGTCTAATTGCTTCTCTTAGCAGACAGATTCACATAATGACTACAGTGTTTTGAAATGTTGAATAGCAGCTGTGTATCGGTAATATCTCTGGAGCAAGGTCAACTGCTCTGCAGTAAAACTCTATCCTGCCTTTCATATCCCATCAGCACAATCAGCGAGTTGGGCTCCTCTCCGAATACTAAATGCGGCAGCAAACTCCAGAGCGAGCTTCCTTGGAGAGCAACGGGCTGTGCAGGGCGAGCTGGATGCGTGCTGGACGTGGGGCTGCTGGGTCGGGCAGCACGTGCGGTGCAGCAAGCTCTGGAAGGGACAGGCACCAAAATCTGCACTTTTTCACCCATGGAGCAGGCACGGGGAGGGTGCCCGATGCTGGAGGAGAGCCCAGCTCTGCTGCTAGTGCTGTAAAAGAATGGGGAAAATCAGTTTCAACAGGTTTCCACTTCTTCTTCCCCTCCTCCTTCAACAGATATACACACAACCCATGTCTGTTTTCCCATGGCTAATTAGCAGTGATGATAATAAGCCGGTTTCTTGGAGTTAGCATGCATCAATGTCTCTGTTAACTGGGTTAATTACACGGTGGACGGGCATTTGTTTCCTGCAAAGACAGGATGAGAACGTGTCTTGGTGGTGCTCAGGAACAGAGCAGAGTGACCAGAGCGGGTCCCCAGGGGCTGCATCCCCAAAATCAGACCCGGGCGCTTCCAGGCACATCTCTCCCACCTCCCCTGCAGCACAGCAACATCACAGTGCATGTGTGCATGGAGAGAGACCCCCCAAAAATTACATAGACAGCCTTCAAAGGGTTAAGAGCAGCATCTCTGTTGGCAGAGAGAGAGGAGAGAGGGACTCACCGGCTCAAGAGCAATTTCAGCCTCCACTCGAGCTTTGTGCCACTCCGTGAAGTCTCAGCGCACCTCAACTAGATCAGAAATTGGTTTACGTTCCCTTCTATGTGTTTATGAGTTTGTAAAAGCTGATTTATTTTATTCCATTGCTACTCCAGGATATTATACCAAAGGCATCTGTTGGGAGAAGAACTGGGACTCATTATGAAGTTACTTAAACAAAGTCGCTGCTATCGGGACTGCTGGGTCCGATGGTATTTTATCTTTATGGCCCTGGAAGGAAAAACCTTGGCAGCAGTGCTAACTTTGGCCCAGCATCTGATGGAGGAGGTGGATGTGGTCAGGTGCAGCGAGGAGAAAAATTGCTTTTCCCTTCTCAGAGGCCTGGGTTTCCCCTGGAGGCTCCCATTTCTCACCGGGCACCTCGCCGGCTCAGTACGGGGGCTGCGGCTCCCCTTTTCCTATCGCTGCTGGAGACCTGACAGCAGGCTGAATGGGCTCTGGGTCTGTCCCAGTGGTTGTTTTAACCACGGTGTGTGTGCAGGTGATAGATATTGGCCTTGCTGTGCTACCTCGCAGCCTCTCTGGCTGCATGCCAGGCCCTGCGTGCGCTCTGTATGAACGCAGGGCAGCAGCAGCGGTGCTCGGGGCACGCAGGCTGCTTCTGGCTCCGAGAGGTGCAGGACCACATCCCTTCTGCTCTGACCCACGGGCTCCTGCTGCAAGCAGCATCTTTCATCTTTCATCCTTCCTTCCATCTCGTCCTCCCTGGCCTCGGCCGCTCGGCCCCCTGTCCGCTCCCATCTTCCCAAACCCTTTTCTCATGTCAGCTTTGCCTCGCTGAGTCGAGAGGTTCACAAGCAAAACCCAATTGTAAAACAATTTGAAAGCAATTTTGCAGCTGCCTCATGATAAGAGGCAGAGCCAGGATCAGGGATGCTCGCTTTAGAACCGCAACACACAGAAATAATTATCTCAGCTCATGAAGAGGGAGAAAGAGAAAAAGCACGTGCAGCACATGCCCAGCTGGTCTGGCTGGCTCCTGCCTGGCTTTCTGGGTTGCCATCGGATCATCTTGGCCATTTGTGCTTTCCCCAGGACATCAGGAGAAGGCTTTCTCTCAAGGAACAGCTGCTGAGAACTGCCCCATGCACACGCTCGCTGCACTGATGTGCCCAGTACCCAGATGTGGACCAGTAACTCCTCTGAAACTGGTCCAGCATCACTCAGCTGGCCTGAGTGGTGTCCCTGCACCCTTAGATCAGAAGGAAGTGAACTAGAAAATAAAAGTATTGCGTACATCCATCACCTTGATTGGCTCCTTATTGGTTAATTGCCCCGGTTCCTCTGCATGTTTCTCAGCACATCCTTTGGGGAGGGCTCTGGGCTCAGCCAGCTTCAGCTCCAATAACAGAACCGAATCATCAAAACCTTCTGTGGCACATTGAAAGCTCACGTCTTTTCTCTGAAAGTAAAAATAACGCTTTTCTCCCCCAGAGCTAAACCCGAACGCAGCCACCTCGAAAACTTTCGGTGCAACTTTTCTGATCCAGATCTGAAAATTGCCTGTCACATCACGCCAACAAATCACGGCGCTGCCCTCCCTCCGCTCGCTCCGTGCCAAGCTCGGCGCTCCTGCCGGAGCTGCAGGAGGAACGGAATGAATAAACAGCATTTGCCTTCAAACCCTGCGCATTTTCCTCCCAAGATGACAGCAGATAATCGTGCAGGCTATTGATTTAATAGCTGATTCCGGAGGAGATTAAAGACGAAAGGAAGAGGCAACGTCTGAGGAACTTTTAGCTGTGGGTGGGAGGGATTTCGTAGGCAGCCCTACAAGGGCGCACACACAGGCAGAGTGGACAGAGAGATCAGGAATGTGCAAGAGGTGCACAGCCCATGCCAGGGAACAGCTTTCTGCCACAGAAACCCAGCTTGAGCTCTGTGCTTTCCTCCTCCTGAATCTGAATTCCCCTGCCATTCCCACTCGTGCAGCATTTGCTTGTGCCTGGTCACTGCCCAGTTACTTTTAAGGACCCCTGAGGCCTTCGCCAAAGGTTCAAGGCTGAGCTCTGCACAAAAAGAAGCAGTTAAGGATGCACTTTAGGATGAAATACAACCTGGACTCAGATAGCAGCATCCCTTAAAAGTAAGTGGGGTGATATCTCAGCGCTTGAGGAAGAAATACTGCCCTCCGTGAGCACAAGAAGCGATTGAAACCTTAGAAATAATAAAATTGGGTGGGATAGATGGAATTGCCAAGAGAATCCCAGCAGCCAGGAAGGAACCATGGGTTCTTTGCACAGCTCCCTCAGAAACTTTCCCCTAGTACCTGGCTGGGCACAGGCCACCTTCATTTGTATGCTGCCCGTGGACTTCCCTCAAACACCCTGCACAGCCCTTTATTATCGCTGTTAGACTCAGGGATGAATTCCAGCAGCACCTGTTGGCAATTGTGAGCAGCAAGCCAGACAGAGAAGGGAAAGCACAGGGCTGCCCAGGGAGGGATGGACTGCCCCGAGCTGGCCCCTTATAAATATTCCGGTTCACCGGTCCATGGCTTGAGAGAGGTCATCCTCAGACAGGGGATGCATTCAGGTCCCTTCAGGCAAAATCCTGATTTAAGGAGCCTGATCCTGAGCTGGTGGATGAAGCCTGAGTGAAAGCTGCTGATGATGGCACACTGAAGGGGATGCCCTGTAGGGTTTGGCTGGGTGGGAGCCTCCTCTGGGTGCCCCAAACACCTCTCAGAGGCTCGTTGGGGCAGAGTGGCTCTGCAGCTTTTTAAAAACCCCAAATCCCCAGAAACAAATCCCCCTAAAGAGCCGGAGCAAGCCTGACGCTGCTCTCCAAGTGCCAGTTCGGAGCCCGGAGCTGTAATGCACAAAAGACAAACTGTGCTCCTATTAGCACCACATCAATATCATTTAAAGCCCCATTCTGAGGAGGGCCTGGCAGCCCAGTTAATGCACTTAATTTCCCTCTGCCTCTGAATGGACATAAATAATTGCGCAGCGCTAGCCCTCCCCGCTCCATCCTCTCCAGCCAGACGGATTATCTCTTGTTCTTTCCCCAGATTTGGCTTCGGGACGCAAACACCATTTATGGTCACCGATTGTTCTAAAGGCCAAGTGTATAATGTACCATAAAATGAGATTTTAATACTCGGTGGGAGATTAGAGCGGCTCCGTTCTGTTAAAGCAGCCCGCGTTCCCACACTTCGGCAGCCCCCAGCTCCTCCAGTTTACCACCAGGCTGAGGAGGAAATGAAATGGGGAGGCCACACGTGGATCCTGCATGGATTTAGCAGCACAGGCAGAGCTTAAAACCATTGCTTCGGCCCCACAAGCTCCTTGCATGAGATTGCCCATGGGTGAGAGGTGGCTCAGTGACCTCCAGGGATGGAGGAACGGTTCGGGACACGGCAGCTTCCTCCTGGCCATCCCCACCACCAGGCCTCCACGGGGCTTTGAAGGTCAGGAGAGCAGGAATTATTTGTGGAGAGGTCCCGATGGAGGCTCCTGTTGGAAGAGGAGGGGAAGCCCTGCACAGACAGATGGCAGGAACACCTCTGGGACATCGCTCCCACGCTGAAGCATCGCTTTCTTCCTCCCTGCAACCCAAAACGGAGCCCAGAGAGCAGCCTGCAAGCAAGGGAGCAAAAATTTATCATGAATTAATCACAATAGGGCATCCTTCCTCAGATTTCTACAAAACTCCAGTGTGATAATTTAGTGGGGAGAATATCCTCTAATGAGCTTCGAGGAAACCGCAGTCATCTTAATGGGCTTCTTAATGAAGAATCATTTAGGTTTTTATTAACACTGAGGAAAAACACATGGCGTTTGGTAGCTCTTCGGAGCTGGGTGAACATGAATAATTGCTTCAAATGTTCAAACACAAGCACTCTAATGGGCCCCCGTTTGGTGCTTGAAGGGATATCACAATTTTGGTCTTTGGGAAATGTACCCAGAATGAAGATTTGATTTTGGTTCCCAAGCAGGATTTCCAACACATCAAGCTCTGTAGCAACTGCCATCGGTACCATATTGCTCCCAGCTGTTCTCACGACTGGAGATGAAGATCCAGTGGAAACCAGAAGAGAATCTCAGCCCTGGATCTTGCACTGGGTTTGCTCTAGGTTCAGCCAAAGCTCACTAAGAGCAGCGTTTCTGATTTCTCAGTCTGTTCCTACACGGCATCTTCTGTGATATTCCTTTAGAAGTCCTGGCACAGTCTGGTCAAATGGAGGGAGGGCTCATGTTGGCATCAAAGGACCATGGTCTAGCCTCAAAATCAAGAGAGATTAGGAATTCCCTGTGATTTTGTCATTCCTGGCTCACCTCTCAGCTCGGAAACACCAGGTGAGGTGGACTGGGAGACCCAGGAGAGGAGGAAGGAATCACTTATTGTCGTTTACTACCTCAATTTACCTGGCCTAGCAGGCAGCCTGGTGGGTGGACATCACCAGTCTAACGTCAGTGCCGAGGAGCCGAGTTAACAGAGCCAAGAGTTTGATGCTCCGCAGCCGTGCGGGGTTTGGTCATTGCATCACGGAGCTGCAGCCTCACTTCGGGTGCCAGCAGCTCGTTGGAAATGTCTCCGCAGTTACGAGAATGGCTTCAAATGGAAATTGTTCCATCCAAGGGCACAGCAGCCAGGCACTTACACAAGCTGCAAGAGGCAAGAGAGGCGCTCAGAAGGGGAGTAAAGAGGCGATGTTTTCTTTCCCTTGGCTCTGAGGTGCTGTAGGGGTTTTATCCCAGCTTCCCTCCAGCCCCACTCTTTGCATGAGCACCAGGCACCCTCGTGCCCCATGCACTCTACGCAGCATCCCCATCTCCTGCAAGGATTGCTGAGGCTCATACATGGGCTGGGTGGTCCTGGGGAGGTCTTTGTCCTTCCCTGTGCATCACAGAAGAAGTCGGGGGACACCGCTCCTAACACATAGCACCTGGTGAATAAATCACCCCCTTCCTCACCATCTCCATCTGTTTCCCCAGCCCAGCTGCTGGTATCTGTAGCTGTAAGAGGCAGGGATCCTCTCTGCTGAGTGTGTCACCGCTGAGCCCTGAGTGGGAAGCTCCAGCTCCCTTTGCCATGCCATCAGCACTGGGTCAATAGTCGCATGCAGAGATGCTGCCCCAGGGGGCTCTGATCTCTCCCTGGCCTGAGTGAGAGGCTTTGCCTAATTATAACCTTCATAAGGGACATCTGAATTTGTTCCCAAGAGACCAGCGTTTGGGAAAGGCAGAAATAACCATGAAATTACTGTCTTAATCTATCGGCTGCTTACTGTGCAATCAGAAGGCCGGCAGTTACCATACAATTATGGAGTTAATTAAATGGGTATCTCTGCCCTTAAACATAAAACACTACCAGGAGGCACCTGCTGGCTCTTGGATTTCAGAGAGATCAGTGAGACAAAAGACAGGAAAATGGGAACAAGCTATTCTAGGTTAAAGGGGAGAAAGGAAAGGGTGCTCATCATTTTCTTTTCTGTTGTAACAGTTCAGTAGGTGCCAGGAGTTGAACTCTTGTTTAATTTCCCAGATCTGTGCTTTAGTGAAGTGGAAGCTGCAAAGGAAGCTTTTTGCCAAATTCAATAGAATTAGTCAATAATATTTCATTAATAGAGGGGCAGTATCACCAGCTTTTAAGTGTGGACACAGTAATCACAATTTATTCTCAAGCTAGATTTATTCTCCCTGTACAGCTAGCACTAAAATAAATGGTAATATTACCATTACAATTAATCTCTAGCCTTGAAATTTTAGTAATGACTGAGGAAAGAAAAGGAAGCTATCTTTGAGGAGGAATGTTCTGGGGAAGTATTATATGCAGGTGGATTTATTCCACTTTCAATTAAAAGACGAACACTTTTGTTACTCTATCAGCTTTGATTTGCCAGCAGCTTTCTCTAGTTTTATTGCAAGCTGAAATTAGGTTTCTGTTTCTAACAGAGTGAACACCAGATTAAAAGTAGATTTACCCAAATACTCGATGAGCGCCCTGGGCTTCAGCTGAATGGCTCCTGATTTACACCAATTTGAGGACAGCATCCCTGCAGTTTGTTTGGATTCTCCCTCGGGACAGCCCGACACAACCAGCTCCCATCTCTCTGTGATGTGGTCCAGTGGGTTTATGTACAAACCATCCCGGAGCCTGGAGCTGAATTTCTCCTTATGAGTGATGAGTTAAGGGCTCCAATCTGGGGTCCTCTTTCTCCTCTCCCAGCAGTGTTCCCCGGGCCTCTCCATAAATTACCTGTGGTTCTTGTTAGTGCTTTCAGAAGTTATACCCACAGGACAAACAAATTGCCTGCAATTTCTTTCTCTTCTGCAACTCTTCTTCCTCTCACTTGTGCTGGGGAATCTACGAGCTGGCACTCTCCAGCACCCATACCCCATCTCCTAACTATAAAACATTTTGCAAGTCTAAAACCTGCAGGTTCCTGCCACAGAGGAGCTGTGGCTCCTGCAGGGCTGATTTCCACACCCCTTTTGTCTGCTTCAAGAGCCCTCCTCAGCTTCCCTGGCTTCCCCTCAACAAATTAGCAATTGCCACTTAGCAAAGGTAAATTCAGGAGATTTTCCAGCCACAGGAGATGCATCTCCTGCACTACAGCTGGGGATGAGCTACACACTGCAATCAACCCGGCATCTGCTACATGGAGAGGTCCAACAGGCTGAGATTAGCAGAGATTAGAGAAAAGCAAAAATCAAACCTAATCTCCTGGAAAAAAAAATAAAATAATAAAAATAAATGAAAAACATAATTAGTTGGCCAAGGCACTGGGTAAGGATTGAATCATGCTCTCTGCTAGGAAGAGGACCTGGAGCCTAGAGAGTGATAGGGACAGATGCTAGATGAGGCCACTAGATGTTATGCAAACTTCCAGCCCTTCTCTACCACTAATTAATCTGGAATCCCACTCCTGTGCTGAGATTTACCATAGAATTTCCTCTCTGACTGCTCCTGCTCGTGTTTCCAAGAGATCCATTGGGGTGTGATAGCTTGATTCATTTTTGGCTCACTTCCCCGTCATGCCTAAGTGATGGACAATGTGTCTGGAAGCCAGTATAGAATAATAACATTAACTCTGTGTCTAGCAAACAGACTAAACTTAAGAGAATGCTGCCAAAGAAACCCTGAGGAAGAGACAGTGATGAAAATATAAATGATTAGAAAGAGATAAGAGACAAAGAGCCTAAACCTGTCCAGGGAGAGAGGAAATGAAAGTGGGAAAGTGGTATTCAGTGGGTTTAAATCAACTCACTGATTATCACAGATTGACACCGGCTGAAGATCTGCCTCCCTGGATGCTGCTGGGGGAGCTCAGCCCTCATGCTCTGCAGGATGAAACCTTCAAGCTTTCACCAGCATCAGGACTGCAGAGCCTGGCTTTGTTCTGCTATGCTCTTACATCAGTGCAGGGGGCTGTGATGCAGCCCTTTGTACACCTTCTTCAGATGCAGGCAGAAGAGGAAGGAACAGAAAGAGTCAGGTGAGTTTTGGTGCAGTGCCCCTTTACACCCAGGACCCAAATCCTTCCCTCCTTCCCAAAGGGGCACGCAGGGTACAACCACCTAATTGCAAAACCCGAGGGCTCAGTTTGCTTTACCCTGACGTTCAGCATCCTCGAGCAAATCTCAGCCCCAGAATGCTCCAACCTCCATCTTCGTTCCTGGGCTCACCACCCCTTACCTCCAGGACCCCCAGTGCCCCCTCTTCCTTTCCCCATGATGGTCAGCACATCACAGAGAACAAACACAGAGCTGTGAGCATCCGTGTGCTTGTGCAATTAGAGCTTCTGCTTCGAAGCACGTTCCTTAGGCCTGGACAGGTTCCCCCATCCTAGAAGGAGGAATTTATGGAAACGGAGAAAGGTGTTTTAAATTATTCAATATAAATGTAAATAGGAGAAAGGGTTCTTTTGAATAAATTGTGTTATTTATGCTCAGCCCTGGAAAAAAATGGACAGCAGGTTAAGATCTGCTTGCAAGGCAAAGGCATTTGTTTTCCTGCTGGTTGATGCAAATAACGTAAATATGCTTTACATTTTAGAAGGAAGCTTATGAAATATTAAAGCCAAATTCCCAGGTCCCTTCTCCTGCAGAAACGGAGTGCTCCGGAGGGAGACCCGGGGATATTGTGGTGGCGGAGCAGAGGATGGCTGAGGGGTGCGCAGAGCAGTGAGAAAAGTATGGAGAGGGACGGCAGGGAGACGGCTGTGCATATAAAGATGAAAAAAGACCTAGAGGGATGGGTATGCAATGAGGAAGGAGCACGTGCAAGGGATATGTCTCCCAGGAGGGTCTCCCACTCTCCCGTCCCCATGTGTGTGGGTAGGCTGGTGGATTTTCCCGGGGGAGACCAACAGAGAAGGAACAGGGCATGGAAGCCCCCTGAATTATTCAGTTCTTATAAATTAGCGCTCTCTGCAGCTTCTGTGTCTGGAGGGCATGTGTTCATTGCAGGGGAGGGAGGGAGAGGTGAAGGGGTGGTGTAGGATCCCCCTGACAGCACACACCGTGCAGAGCAGGGATGGGGTGACGAGAACTGGGAGAGAGAACCAAGCTTTTGGGGTTTCACCATGTTTCCACGGTGTGACACCTATTTCTTCTTATCTGGAGTTCCCAAATAGCCACAAACCACCACAGAAGTGAAAGGTGAAGGGCAGCTCTCTAGCAAAGGCTAGGGAAAGCTGACGTGTTTCTCTCTGAGCTCCACACATTCCTTCATCCTCCACTCCCCACATGTCCACAGGAGATTTTGACACAGCCAGACCAGTCCTGGCTGCTCTCCCTGGAGCTTTCCAATTAAGCCAGATTTCCTCCCCTCTTCCTTCACACCATGAAGTCCCCCAGCCCCAGGCTTCCCCTGCAATACCCCAAGGACACAGCATCCCCTTTTCCTACCCATAGCCAGAGCAGCATTCCTGGCACCCTGGGGCCACAGGATGCTCCGTGCCACCTGGCTCTTGGCACAGGGCAAGCACTGGGAGAAGTGCTTTGGGTTGGGTTTAAGGTTCCTGATGAATGTCTGCCACTGCAGGGGAAGCCTGGAGCTGGGGAACTTCATGGTGGTCAGATGGGGGCTCTGCTTTAAATCACAGCCACCACCCCCTGCTCAGCTGTTTTGGGCAGACAGGAGGGGGAAAAATGGGATTTATTTTCAGGGGATGGGGAGCACCACTGCTGGACGGGTCCAGTCATAAACCACAGCCCCGTTTCCTCCCCTCTGCTGCTCAGAGGCCAGGCATCTTCCAGCACTTAATCAGAGCACCTGCCAATTAAAGGCAGGGCAGTTGTCAGAGCTTGCTGCAGGGGAAGGAGGGTAATCACCAGCTGTAGCAGGGAGCAGAAGCCACGGCTTGGTGCTGTGTGATTAGCAGGCTGTGCTGCCTCCGGAGAGCAGGGTCCTGAAAAATGCAGGAGTGTGGGCTTGGTAAACATCATTACTGCAGCAGGAGAGGGGAAGGGGCTGCTTGTGCAAGGAGGCTGCAGGCTGCCCTGCCGGAGCAAGGTGACCAGCAGGGTTTCAGAGAGCAGCATTGCTCAGGAACAAGGAGAAAGGCTCTGGGAAACGTCCCTGCTGCTCGAGGTGTCCCCGTGCACCGCTGCAGCTCGTTCCCATCAGACTGAATGACGTGGGACAGCCACGAGCGCATGGGGAGGGACAGCTCTGCGTGCACAGAGCTCGTGTGCTGCACACCAGGGCGTGAATCAGCTGCTGTGCACGAGCCAGGCAGCGGGGCTGTGAGATGCACAACGCAAGTTTCTGTCCCCAGTGGCCCCAGTGAGGGATTTGACACGCGGGAGCAGGGTGCGGATATCGGCCGTGGCACTGCCCTGCAGCTGGGGCAGGAGGCCACGCACACGCTGCTCTGACGTGCCTTAAGCAAGCAGCCCAGCTCCCGTTTTGTCCGATTTATTTTCTTCCTTCCCTCTTCAGGCAGGCAGCACGGTCACTTTAGATATTTCTGGGGCTAAACAAGGAACACAGCAAGAAGCAGGCAAATGCAGGGTTTGAGCATCTGCCTTCCAAGGCCAGACAGGTCCGAGGAATCTGAAAAACTCCAGGCATTCCTTTGAAAGGCAACAGGCTAATTTCACCCTTGCCATAAGGGTGTGAGTCCTCTCTGCCAGGAGATCTGATTTCCGAAGCTCTTTTACATTTCTGAAACTCTTTTATTTATTATTTAACGGAATGCCCTTCTCATCCGTAATACCACCAGGACAGGGAGGAGGGAAAGGAAAAGGGCATCAGTTCACATCTGATTAGAGGGTCTGCCAGTCTAAACGGGGAGCTGCAAGTTGCATTGAACGTTTTTATAAGCATTTTAAGCAGGACCCCCAAAAGAAGACATCAGTTTAAACTCGTTGACTTGATGACTGACTGGGTCATTGCCTAAGTCTGGGAGCTGTATTGGTATTTACCGACAGCGCTCGAGATTCCAGCAATGCAATCATTTGCTTGAGTTCCCCAGGCAATGGCGTACGATAGGCAGCTGTAAGTGGTAATGGATAGAGAAGTGTTAGGGTAGAGAAGTGTTAGCGTGAGGATAACTGGCAGCAGAGAAGGGTTTTTTCCCCAATTCTGGTCTTTAGGGAGCAGCACTCCTGCCCCCACCTCGGGGATGCTGCACCAGCACCAGCGTGTGCCCGGTGCTGGGAGCGGATCACGAGTTCTCCTGCTGCCAGCTGGATGCTGGTGTTGCCACCAGCTCGGCACCAATTATTTATGAAAGGAAATAGAAACAAAACTGCTTGACATTTGCAAAGAAATCATTACCACGCACTTGTGGCGAATCAGAGCTGGAGTGCTTTAAAGTTCCGCCGTCCCAGCGCTTAATTAGAGACCAGGCGGCTTATGTTTTGCTCTCATGAAAAATTTAACCCCCGGTTGCTTTGCCTGATTCCAGCCAAAATGGAGTTTCTGGCCCACCCCCTTCCACTTCAGGGGCGCTCAGCTTTCCCCCTGCCTGGGGACCCCCGTGGGCACTCGGGGCAGGTTCAGGATAAGACCTCGGTGTGATCCCCAGGAGGCTTGGAGCATCCCTCGGAGCCTTCCCCTTTCCCCCCATGCCAGAAAAGGCGGTGCACCCACACGGGGTCACCATCCTCAGGGCTGGACAGGCTTTGCTTAAACCTCATATATTTTTTTTCTGGCTGCACAACACAGCTCCACGTGAGGCTGAGCCAAAGGGCTGGGTTTTTCCCCTTCCAAGCCTTGGTGGCTGCATGGGGCAGTGATCAGAGCCTGCTCCCCCTTTGGGGTCCGCTCTCATCTGCAAATTTCCCTGGGTGCTGCCGCTCGCCTCCCACCCTCACCCCTAAACTGGGAGCAGCAGGTGTAAGGTGGAGATAAAAAGAGTGAGGAGCACAAACTGCTCCGATAATGGGATCTGTGTAAGCCTCCGCAGTAAATGATCATTGTAGCTACAACTGAATTTCCCTAATCTAGACAAGCCTCTGCTCTCCTCTCCTTCAACTAGCAGTTTAATTTGCATTAAAAAAAAATCCTTCCGAGATGATGTGGATTGCGCCCCCCTCCCTCCCCTCCCCGTGCTTTACAAGATATAAACATTGCGTCTCCTTTTTAAATGTAGCCTCTGGGTAGGGATTCCTGTGAAACTGAGAAGCGGGCCATTTTACAGATAAATGATTTATACAGAAGATGCTATGGATGACCTGATGCTGACCTGTTTGAATTAATTCCAGCATTTGAGCTTCCATTTCTATTAAAACTCCATTTACCAGGGAAGTGAAAAGGTAATTATCGTCCCCAGCTTTAAATCACTCTGCTGCTGAATTATTAAAGGGAAGAATTAAAAATAATCAGGCTTTTTCATTATACTTCATAGAGAGGAAATTAAAGGTGTAAGAATGTATTTTTTGCTTGAATTTAAGTATTCATTTCTGAGATTTATGTAGAAATTGAAATTATTCTCTCTGTGTGCCCAGCTCATTCTCTTTATGAAAAACACACAGACACATGCATGGGGGGAGAAGGGGAAAAAAAAAAAAAAAAAAAAAGTAAAAACCCTCTTGTAAAATTAAAAGAAGAATAGAAGGAAGAAGGGATTTAACATGAAAAAGTACAGGAGAGTGTTGTGCATTTTAATACCCTTTTTTTCCCTGCACAATTACACCTCTGAGTGATCCAGCAGAGGGAGATTAAGCTGCTACTAATTTCAGATATACAGTTGTAAAACGCTGGGTTAGTTCTTATCAGGAGAGGTAAAAAAAAAAATAAAAAATCCACCTCTGCCTGGCAGGGGGAGGCAGCTGATGGCTTGTGATGCCTGGAGGCTCTCAGGAGCAGGGCCTGGTGCTGGATCCGAGCAGCCAGGGCGTGATACCAGCACCTTCATGCAGCCCCCAGGTCATCCTCATGTGAATATAGGATGGGGATGGATGGGCAGGGGGTGACACGGGAAGATCCAGCACCAGTGGAAGCGCTCAGCACCTCCAGAAGCAGCCAGCCCTGCTCCTCACTTGGGATCTTGAGGCAGCGAGCTCCAAGGGCTGAGCGCACCTCCGTGCCCGTCGTGCTGTGGGGTGGTTGTGGACACTGCTCCGGGGCAGTCCAACAGCACTTGGCCATGTCCTGAAACAAAAAGACCCTTCCTGAAGGACTTTTCTGGTGTGTGTTCCGTGGGAAGGAGCCTGGTAGCTGATAAATCTGGTCTCAGGGCATGAACAAGCATCTCTAGGGTTGGTGCAAGGAGATCCAGAAACATCCATCAATGTGGGAATAGGAAAAGCAAGCTGCAGCCCAGAAGGGAAAAGCTCTTTGTTCAGAATCAAAAGCAAATCCCCAAACACCAAACTCCTCATCTGATTGCTCGTCCCACTGCCTTCTGCTGCTGGATGGGGACAGGCAGGGCCACCCCATGCTACACAAACTGCAGCTGAACGTGGTCCTGCATCAGTTCCCTAAGCTTTCCTTTCACTGCTTCTGGGGCTGGACCTTGCCAGATCAGCACTGCCAGCTGCACTCCACTGCAAGCACAGTGGATAAAACACCAGGTATCATGTGAAAAAGGCAAAGAGACATCGACAGCAAACAGCCAAAGCAGGGATTTGCTTCCCACCTCCTGCACTTGCACACAGCAGCTGCTGCCTCTTCTCCCTGAGCCCTGCTCTCCTGCACACCAGAGCTCCTCCTATCCTGCAACGTGAAAATAGAAGTCACAGACGAGTGGGAAAAGCATAGACGTGGTGCCTGTCTTTCACAACTGTCACAAAACTGAGCGAGAATCTAGGCCAGTCAACATCTGTCCCCGGCAAAGTAGTCAGAAGTTGATATATGATCCAATAGATAAAGAATTAAAGGAGGGGAATATAATTAACATCAGTCAACACGGTTTTATGGAAAATAGGGCTTGTCAGACAAATCTGATTTCGTTCCTTGATGAGATTACAAGTTTGGTTGATAAGGGTAACTGCAAAGACGTAATATATTTAGGCTGTTGTAAGAGGTTTGACTTTGTATCTCACAACCTTCTGATTAAAAAATTAGCACTATGCGATATCAGCGGAGCACGTGGTAAATGGATTAACAATCAGCTCCCTGGCAGCTCCTAGGAAATGGGCTGTCAGCAGAGAACCACGGCACGAGGGAGGCACAAGCAGTGCTTCTAACACATTTCCAGGCTTGGGCTCAATTGTCCTCAATAATCTTGATGTGAAAAATTAAATTAATACTGATGAAATTCGCAGGAAGCCCAAAGATCTGAGCAGAGATACGCAGCAATCAGGAGGGGCAGATCGCTCAGGAAGACCTGGATTGCTCAGGAAGCTCAGCTGGCTCCAGCTTCACGTATGAGGACGAGGAACCACAGCAGGACTGGGGAGCAGAGCCACCTTCCCTGGCCAAAACCACAGGTGGGTGAGGAGCTGATCCATCCCTCCCTGGGGAGAGGCTCCAAGAGCTCAATCCCTTTAGTTTATCAACCACAGATTGAGAAGTGGCTTGACTAGAAGGGATAAAAACCTTCATGGGGAGAAAATAGCAGGTACTAAACACCTCGTTAATCTCATAAAAGAGGCATAAGAATGGCCTGGTGATTGCAAGGGGAAGCCAGAGGAACTCAAATAAGAAGTTAGGCCCAACTCTTTCACTACAAAGCGATTAAATGTTAACAGGTTTCCAGGAGAGCAGCACTTCCTCAAGCTCCAGAATCATCTTGTGCTTTTGTGAAAGTGCTGCGTTAAGCACCAAAAAGTCAAAGAGCTCCTGTTTGTCCCCTTTGGATAGAAAGTGAACAGAAAACCCGAAAAGGCTTCTCCAGGTGCTCCCTGCCTTAGGGAAAAATTGCTGCCCATTGCCCTGTGCTCAGCCATGTCCTGTGCTGCTGCTCCTGGCTCTCCGTGCGCCTTTCCCCTTCCCTGGGGAGGGAACAGAGCCAGCCCCCAGGGGTGACACGCTGCCCAGCCTGTCCCAAAGGCACACACTCTGCCCCTTCATGGGCTCTCCTTCCATCCCCCTGGCTTTAACCCAGGACCAGACACCCCAGGCTGTACCACCCTCCTGCTCCACATCATCCCCTAAGCTCCCGGTCTCCAGCAGCCCTACGTTTTCACCATATTCTGCTCAGAACTTAAACTACCAGATCTCCCGGGCAATTAATTTATTATCCCTTTAACTGCCTGAAGAGAACTCACAGCCCTTATAATAATACTTTACATCTCTCCGGGGTTTTCCTGCAAGGATCTCAAAGAGCTGTGCAAATAACTGTTATTCCTTGTGCTCCCACACGTGGCATTCCCTTCCATCCTGCAGACGTGGAGGCAGAAGAGATGACGTGCTCTGCTCTGTGCCATATATTGCGGCGGGGATTTGAGGGCAGGAGGCTCAGCTGGCCGTGCTCTTCACCAAATTGCACGGCCACACCAGGAGGAACAAACCCAGGAGCCAACTCACCTGCTGCTGGCTGAGGTGCTCAAGGCAGCCCCCAGAAAACCTGAGCTTTTGGCAAATATTAATGAAAATATCTATTTTCAAATATACAACATATAAAATTAATAGACCTGCCGTGTGCTGTCCTGTGTGGCCCTCAGGCTGGACAGTCCCCACACGTGTCCTTCACACCCAGCTTTGCCTTTGCTCTTTGATACCAGGCTGCCTCGTGCAGATGAGGACATGGAGACATTTCACATGCTTGCTCCTGTTGCTTTTTCTCCAACACCCTTACATCCACTGGGATAGAAATTTTGATTTAAAAAGTCACGGAAAACCTTTTGGTAAAACAGAAACAGCTTCGGCACCTAGAAAGGAACGCCTTTATTTTTCATTCTAGACCTGCCCTGGCAGCACACGACTTTTACACTATTTTCTTTTCAAGAAACAATTGAAAAGAAATATTGCAGCTGGCCCCAAAAAAATATTTCTTTCAAAGAGTCCTATTTCAGGGGCAAGAGGAACACGGGATTCTAATTCAGAACCGAATAGACATCCTCAGTGCATGAGTGGATGGGTGTTGAGACAGAGGGATGGGAGACAGGTGAGCAGGTAAGCAAGGGGCAGGGTGGGTGTTGTGGGTGGATGAGCAGAGAGAAATGTGGATGGAGGAAGCAGAGGGGAGCAGGGAGGTGAGCTGGGGATGCTCAGGGGAGCACTCAGCAGCAGCTCCTGTCCCCCTGCTCGCACCGGGCTGATGTTGCCTCGTCTCCCCCCGGGTGCAGGCAGCCTCTCTCTATGATTTTTCCTTTGTGTTCCTGCTCCTTCCACCCCCGCCGCCACCCTCCTGTTCTCCAGTCACTTCACACCGCAGCCTGATTAGTGTAAATATTGCCACCAAACAGGAGCTGTCTGAGCAGACACCTTCCCGTGTACCTCCCCTCCCTCCCCGCCACGCCAGGCTGTAATGAGCCGGGAGAAACCGCTGCTGAGAGGTGTCAGAACAATTTCTATTAAACATAATTTCCTAATGAAAAGGTTATAAGTGACTGTGTCAGAGCTGATCAGCATTCAGCCTCCCCGTCACAGCACGGTCCCCTTCCAGCAGCCTAACTGGGGTGGCTGCGAGCCCTGTCCTTTATCGGAGCGGGTCCTGCACCAGCATCTCCATCCTGCGCAGGAGATGAGCACCCTGACCCTCTCCCAGCTCCCCTCCAGATCCCAGCCTGTCCCTTACATCCAGGGAACCGTCCCCTCTCAGGGAGGACTCCTTCCTTGCCTCCAGCACTTTCCCCAATTCACCCACACCCCGCTCCTTCCTGCTCCTCCTTCCCTCCCACCCTTCCTTTTCCGTCTTTCCCAAGCCACTAGAGAGGATTGAAGACAGGATTACTCAATGATAACAACAGCCACCATCCTAAATCCAGTCAGGGATGGTGGCTAATCCCTTTAATGAGTTGCTGTAGCTCTGGCAGCTGAGCTAGCCTGCATGCTAACTCACCACCTCTCCCCTTCTCCTCCCAGACAGACGCTGCTGAGCCAAGGCTGCAGCCCGAGAGGTTGCTCTCAGCAGTGGGAAGCAGCCCAGAGCCCTCCTGGGATCCCTTTGGCACTAGGGGAGCCGGCTCAGAGAGCCCTGGGCATGCTGCAAGTGGCCAGAGATGTCCCTGGCACCCCATGGCAGGGCAGAGCCCAGCGCCCACCCATCCCATGGAGGGGATGCAGCTGGGGCAGGGCAGGACGGCATCCCACCAGCAGAATAAGATGATATTTGTAAAGCAAAACCCTCGCCGGGATGGGAACAGGCACCAAAACACAGGACACAGCTGGCCCCAGAGCACGGGGCCGAGCTGCTCACACCATGCTCCTGCAGGGAAGGCGACCTCGTTGGCCACAGCGAGTCAAAACCAACAAAAATGGGACAGATCTGCCCCGGGGGGTCCTTATCTATGACTGAGGCAGCCTGGAAAGGTGCCGCCTGTTTCTGAGGGGCTACATTTCTCCCCTCGGTCTCGAGGGGAAGATCCTTGCATGGCTGATGTGCTGCAGACAGCATCGCGGCGGCCTGGTCCAGCCTTCCTGGCTGGTCCTTCATTATTTCGCACTGGTGCTACAATTTGCGCTGATGCAAAGGAGCAGTGTAAATCAGGCATGAAGGAGGGAGGATTACTGCTGCCGGAGCCTCTGACTGCCCCACGTTGGCAGGTTTAATTGCTTTCACAGGGACCAGGCCAAGCCAGGCTTGAATGCTGAGAACCGAGGCGTGCGAGCAGCCACACTGATTAAATTTCCCCCTGCTCTGGCCGTTGCCCTGCGGTGGCGGCTGTGAGCAGCCAGCCTGCCTCACCAGGGCTGACGTTTTCCTTCTCCCCCTCCAGTTTTAAGCAAGGAGCCCTTGGACAGCACAAGGACACTGGTCCAAGCTGCCCTTTCCATCCTACCTGGTTCCCTTTTGCTCAGCAGGGCTTGCCTTGTGCATCCCCCTCGTCCCTCACACCCCCAGCCTTCCCCTTCCCCTGCACTACACGTGCTGCCTGGGTCTTTCCCTCCCTTTCCTTATCAAGATAAAGCTGTCATCGGCTTCCCCATTCCACTGGTTTGTTGAGACTTTCAAAGCCCGAAACCGTATTAAATATTCAGCCTGCTCCTTTGGGCTGCATTTCAGAGCCTGCATCCCTCCCTTTAATTGCTCCGTCAAGACTAGATGAAAGTTTGATGCCGAGGCTTTGACTGGGACTAACTCAAACACTTTGGGCTCTGCTGATTTATTTATTTAAAGAGAAAAAAATATCTGGATTATTCCGCTTAAATTAGGCTCTGCAATTGCTAAAGACCTCTTTCATTGGCTCTCTCACTCATTCATGCTTCTTTCCAAAAATGCACTCTCTTCCCTGCTATTTTTGGCTATTCTGAAATATGAGCATGCTCCTTCCTGTATCCCTTGCTCTCTGTCTCTCTTCTGACTGTCACCAAGTGCACGTCTCAAACACCTCTTCTGAAACAGCACGGTGCCCTGTACTCCCACGGGAAGGCAGATGGAGACTTCCATCCGAGGAGAGGGCTCCCTTGGGCATCGCTCCACCAACAAGGCAGCCGAAATCTGCATCTGGAGAGAACTCGGCTGCCAGGGAAGACACAACCACAGCAGTCCCCTGCACAGCTTCAGAGGCTGGCTCTGATTTAGATGCTCCCAGCAGCAGCTTGTTAACCTGCACCCCTTATACCTGGCCCTGGAGACGTGGCTGGGAGCTCAGCCCGTGGGGCGAGCTGGGACCTTCCCCTCCCTGTGCCTCCCCTGAGCATCTTTGCTCTTGCTCTGAATAATTCCTGCACGGGCAGGCAGAGGCCAGCTCCCTCCTATTGCAGGCTGCAGCTGGGAGGAGATGGATTTTTGTTTATTTGGGGCTTTTTTTTCCTTTGCTTTGTTCCTATCTGCCCCGAGCTGCAGCTCGGTGCTTTTTGCTGAGGTTTGGAGTCCGTGGGTGAGCACATCTGTGCACGGCCAGGGGACAAGGTCAGCCCCTGTCACAGGGCAGGGAACAGCACCGCTCCGGCTGCACTGCCCTCCTGCTTCCTCTGATGTAATTAACATCCCTTTGTTATTGTCTGCAATCACGGCTGTCTCTGCTTTAATCATCTCCCCGCAATGAGCATTCCTTCTCATTAGGGGCTTAAAAACCTCCATTATAAACATGTAAATGGGACGCAGCGAGGAGGGAAATATTTTACTACTCCAATTTCCTGTTGTGCCACTGCCAGCGAGTCGTGATGCTATTGCTAAGCATCTCCAGGCAGCACCAGCATCCAGGGGACGGGACCCACATCCCTCTCCCTACCAGCACCAACAACACCCCAGTGCCCGCTGCAGCCTGCGGTGGGACGTGGAGATTTTTCCTTCGAGGGTACGTGGAGAGGAGGCAGATTCTGAAACCTCCCAGGGTAAAACCAGCACGCTGCCTTGTCCTTAGAATAAAGGAGGCGAAACCTCAGCCTCTCTGCAGCATCATTTAAAGCCTTTGACCTCCTCTGCCTGCACTGATGCTGGCTGAGCTCTGGGCCAGCTCTCCAACCTGCTGGCACACCCAGACACCACGGGCACCCCATTACATGGACATGCTTGGCTCACTGTCTTCCTTCTCTGTTAACTGCAGAGCTGCCCAAGGAAGCCCTCTTTCACCCCAAAGAGCCTCCTAAGCACCAGCCTTGCACGAAGAGGGCCGTCCAGGCGTTTTCTCTCCTTTCAGCAACAGCCAGGTCCTGTATTTCAGGAGACCGACCCCAGCCTCCTCCAAACAGCAATTGTTCAACCCAATAACATTTACAATGCAAATGCCAGCTCTGTTTGTAAGAGTAGCAGGCTTAGGGGGAAGCTCTGGGACCTGGCTGCAGCTGATCCACGGGAAACTTCAGCATCCACCTCCAAAAAGATGTTTTACGGGGAGGTAGGAGGCTCTGCTCCCCTCCATGGGGTTCACAGAGAAGCAGATTTCCCAAGGAGCCACTTCTGCTCTTTAAAAACTGTTTTTTTTTTTTTGTTTTGTTTTTGTTTTTTTTCATGGGCAGCCACTGTTTGGGCAGTGTGTGGAGAGCAGAGAGGCTGTGACAGCCCCTCCAGGGGTCAGCTCGAGGTGCGCTGCAGCATCCTCCTCTGGCAACGCTGCTGGGCCTGGCCCTCCCAGCCCTAGGAGCACCCCCGAGCAGCGTCACCTTCAGCTTCCAAGCTTCTCCTACGCCAGCCTGAAGCCCCCGTCACAGTGTTTTGTCCTTTTTCCTCTCCTCCCTGTTTTTGTCGGTAGCAGGGAACAAGGGACACTTGATCTGATCTCTGCAGACAGCTTTTCTGCCTCGTGCATACTAAGGTCTCTGCGAGCAGAAACCACTGAATCCGTATAAAAAATTTCTCACCCAAGGTGGCTAACAAACCCCTAAAGGCAGGAGTAGCAGCCAAGGTGCAGAGGAGAGATAGCAAATCAGGCACTACAGCGCTTTCAACTCCAATCTCCTCGCCCTACCTCCTGATAAAACGTTGCTGAGACTTCTTCCATCTCTCGGTTCCTCGCTAGCACATGGATTTGGCACCCATGAACTTTTTAATTTCATAAACCACCAGTGCTTTGCCTTCCCTTGTTGCACCGGCGTGGCTTCGTGGAGCTCTCTAAGCCAGGTGCAGCCGCTCGATAATCCCCTGCAGTGTTATCACATCAGCTGGGGCAGGGCCGAACGGTGCCGCCCTGCAGCCCCGGCTCCAGAAGACCACCAGCAGCAAAGGAGCAGGGCAGGGGGGAACTGGAGTCCTCTCGAGCTTGACCTGCATCCCACAAACCTTATTTATCTCTGCGAGCCCAACGCTGCTCCTAACGTTAACACCCACAGCATCCTCCTGTGTAACAGCTGCTTCCTTCATTTCCTAAGCCTTTCCACCCAAAAAAACAACGCTTGGCTTCCTCATGAGGGGTTTATATCCCCTGTGCACCTTCAGGAAGGGCACATGCTATCAGTGCCTCCTTTAAAAAAAATAATAAAAAAAAGAGCAAACAAAAACCACACAACTTTTTGCCCTCAAGTCATCAAGACATGGGGGATTGTGCTTATTCGGTGAAAGGGGCAAAGGCAGGAAAGTTAAAAGAGGTTAAACAGACACAGGAGCGCTCCCAGCCTTCTGTGCAAGCCCCTTTGCTTAGGGGCAGCCCCACCAGATTTAATCCTCGTTAAGCAAGGCGCTGCTTTGCTCCTGAACCTTTCAGAGTGTTCCCTTGGAGACAAGCCCTGAAAGCTTCTCTAGCAGCCCTGCGAGCTCGCACGTGCTGCCTCAGCTGACGTCTGCTCTGACCATGCCTTCGCCTTCCCTTGCCCAGGCTGTGGATGGAGAGGATGGGGCAGAGCAGAGGGATGGGGTAAAGCAGAGCAAGGGGGTAAAACAGAGAATTCCTGCAGCAGAAACGCCCCTACACGTGCAGTCTGCATCAGCATGCAGATGCTAAATGGTGTTTCTTGCACTCGATCCCACTCATCCTTGCACCAAGCCACTGCCACAGTGATCAGAGCAGCTCTCCAGGGCAAAGGGTGACCTGGGCGTGCATCAGCTGCTCAGGACCCAGCAGAGTAGAATTGAAAGGCAAACACATCCACCCACCCAGGGCTGCTGCAAAACTGCCTCATCCCCTTCCAAGCAACACTCAGTCAGAATTTACTACGTGTGCGCTCCGCTGTTTGTGTCCCCACCTGGGATCTTACAACACAACCACTATTTTCACCGCGGGATGCTCCACGCCTGCTTTGAAACACGGGGAACGCCCTCCCGAGCTGGCGTCCCCAAAGACTTTCTCTTCCCCTCAATCAGAAACGCAAACCCTCAATCAGAAATTAAAGCTCCACGCAACGCCACCACAAACGGCTCAGCCCTCGAAGCTCACGTGCCTGCTCGGAGAGTTTTTGGGAAGCAGCAGAGGCACGGCAGGCAGGGAGGGAGCTGATCCTGCTCAGGGCCAGCCCCACATCAGCAATATTTAGCAGAGGGGAGAAGGCTTGAATGGGGTGTAGACACGAGGCACAAAAATTATGGTGCTAATTAGGGCTTTTAGGGAGGCTTAAATGGCTGGGAATGGATGGGGAGTGAGCGAGCAGAGCGGCTAGAGGTGTAAATGGGCAGGAATTAAGAGCTGCACAGAGGAAATTTGGCCTCGTGTTGGGGTTAGGACTGGGATATGACAAGCCTACCCCCAAAGTCAGAGCATTGCAGCTTTTGTTCTGTTTGCCTGGGCAATATTCTAAATTCCCCTTTGTTTCACGTATTCGGGAGAAGAGGTATCTATGGATGCAGAGATTAAAATGGCTTTTTTTTTCCTTGTCAGTTTGGGTGCTGATTTTAATCAGTTTTTTTTTTTTTTTTTTCCCTTCCTTTTTCCCCTTTCACAGCTCCATTTCTAAAGAAAAGGAACAGCTCAGAGAGAAATTGGAGCTGCTCCCAGGACAAATGGGCCTGACTGGCAGTGCATAAAATTACCACTGTCTCTTCACCTTGCTTTCTGCGATTCCTTTATTAACTAACTGAACCCGCAGTCATTCTCCCTTTCCTCGCTCGTTCATTCTCTCTCCTTCTCCCTCTCCCTACTCCCAGCTAAAGGGTTCATTATGGGATGCCTGTGGACTAGTAATGCACCCCAGGCACAGGGGAGAGCACATCCGTGTCCTGCAGGACACTGGCGTGGCACAGAGGGGATGCAAACCTCCTGCACGGGGTCTCACCATTTATTTATAGGGCAAGGAGGAATCCCATCCTCCTACATCCCCAGCAGTGGGAGGCATGAAGGGGAAAGGAACATGAGCTAGCCACAAGCCACAAGCTCCTTGCCAATGAAGCCGCCCCCATCAGCTCTTTTTTGGCCCTTCTCAGATCCCTGCTGGGCTCTGCCACCTCCCAACCTTGGGGATGGAAATGCCCCAGCTGGATGGGAACAGCTCACACCCCTCCAAAAAGATCCAGACCCAGCCACCACGCACCTCCGGGTTGCAGTTCCAGGAGGGTAATTAATTTCCATCCGAAGACTGGAGGAGAAGTGTATTTGTTTAATGAACGCGTTCACAATTTGTTCTCCTGCTCGGTGTGTGTTCTGGCATTTTATTAAGCTTTTTTTTTTTTTTTTTTTTTTCTTTTTTTTACTGGGGGAGGGGAACAAAGACTAATAAAATGTGTTAATGACAAATACCAACTGCGTGAAGAGGAGACAAAAACCAGGGACAAGATGATTTGTGGGCTGGGTTGGATGAGACTGAACACTCAGTCCACGGGCTGGGAGGAGGAAGAGCAGACAACAGGCTCACTGCAGAGACGTGGTGGCTTTCCAGCACTTCTCACTCTTGCTCATCAGTGCCTGTAAGTGGTGGGGCTGTCTGAAGGATCCCAGCCCTCTTCCAGCAGGTTCCTCTTTCCCCATCAATTTTCTTCTTCCTTGTGCTCCTGCCACCTCCAGCTGCCCCAAACCTCACTGTGGGGAGCAGGATTGTGACCCTCGGGAGAGCATCCCCAGCAAGGACCCCCCAGGTTGGAGCTTTCTCCGTGGCACAGCCCTGGCCCCAAATGCTTGATGCCCCAGAACAAAAGGCAGAAATAAGCCCCACGTCTCTCCATCCACCTGCTGGGCTTCCCAGCCTCCTGCTTCCCCTCATCGCTTCTGCATTCAGGTTTGCTGCCCAAGGGTGGTCTCGTTCCCTCGGCCACTTGTCTACTCCCAGGGTAAATTCTAATTTTTTATTTTCTTAATATTATGTAGCTGACATGGCAATAAATAACTGGAATCGCCAATATTGTTTTACAAGGGGTGAAGGCAGATATGATCCTCAATATACTGCCCTTCATCGGAGTTATTTTCTCATTCCTCTCTTTTTGGTGAAGTTTTCTAGAACCATTTATATTTTCCTTGTGTCACTTTAAAATCAGAACGAGCTTTAAAGAGAAAATTGCATTTTTTTCTCTCCTCGCAG